ATGATTGCGTTAAAACATGATCATAAAAATAATGCAGATGCATAAAATCAGACAAACAAAATAGTTAGTTTCATAGATGAAATGAAAGTGATGCCGATGCATAATGTTACATATGATAATGAAAATGATGCATAAAGTCAGACAATCAAAATGATTAGATAAACATTCTTCTTATGTCCTAGTTTCAGGGTATACCTATCATTGGGTAGAAAGGTCTCTATCTTAGGTTTAGGCACTTCTAAGGTTCACTATATGTGGTTCAAGGTTAAAGTCTAAAGGTTTCCAAATTGCTCATTACATCATTGTCCATCACAGACTAGTAAGGCACCCTAATCTTCACCCATTACAGGCTACAAGCAAAAAAGGTTCAATTTGAATGGGAGTATTTTGCTAGCTACTGCGGAGGCATTAAACCTCACGAAAGCAATAGGTACTTTACTCCTTCCTAGAGGGACAGAGCTCGGGTATAAAGCTCATGTTATGCATATGCATATGCATATGAATGACATAATTAATAAAGTAAATAATCATGAATGAATAAATAAAACATATATACAAAAAGGTTCAATTTTATTAGGCTTTTGGATAACACAAATATATTTGCTGGCCTGACTCTTGGACGTCCCCAGTGAAGTCGTCAAGCTGTCATAACGTCTAGATCCGGGGATCCATCGCTAGACATTAACTTGAAGAAGTCGTCACCAATCTTTTTTATCTAGGTGCGATTGGCCACCTAAGGAATCCATCCTTTCAGAGAACACCTAAGTTTAAGGGTCCCTACAAGAATAGGTTCAGGTCTATTAACCAGAACAGGATTCGGGAGTTCAATTACGTGTGAGAAAGGTTATAGCACCCTCACAACGCCCATCGAAAGATGGTACCAACTTAATTTTATGTTATCCAACAAGCCTTAAAAATTTATCAAGTAATTAATTATTCGAAATTATTCTCAATTGACTCTAATACTTTTAGCAAAAAATTGAAAAAATTCTCCCACCTCAAGAGTATGCAAGAAAACTATTGTTTCACTTACAGAAGCTCCATCATCGGATTATTTAACATTAAAAAAATTTTAAAAAAATAAAAAAAAGAAAAGAAACATGATCGCTTTTGTGCAGGAAAAATTGATACTTTCAATTTCTCCTCAAAATATTTTTTAGAAAACTTTAATTTCGAGAAAAATTGATAATTTTAACTTTTTCCCAAAAATATTTTTTGAAAACTTTAATTTTGAGGAAAATTGATACTTTCAACTTTTTCTCAAAAATATTTTTTTGAAAACTTTAATTTCGAGAAAATTGATACTTTCAACTTTTCCTAAAAAAAAACTTTTTTTGAAAATTTATTTTCAAGAAAAATTGATACTTTCAACTTTTCTCCAAAAATATTTTTTGAAAATTTTAATTTCAAGGAAAATTGATACTTTCAACTTTTCCTCAAAAAAAAAACTTTTTTTTGAAAATTTATTTTTAAGGAAAATTGATACTTTCAACTTTTCCCAAAAATATTTTTTGAAAAGTTTATTTTCAAAGAAAATTGATAGTTTCAACTTTTCCTCAAAAATATTTTTTTTGAATTTTATTTAAAGGAAATAAAATAATAAAATAAAAATAAAAATAAAAATGAAAATAAAAATAAAAATAAAAATAAAAATGAAATTTAAACCAGTAGCAAATGCTGGAGTTGTTATCGGAGCTCCACCAGTACCAAAAATGGATGGCAAAGTTGAAAATAAAGAGTGACAGATGAGCTAAAAAGAAATGGATCGGTTCTAAATGTAAGAGTTACAGATGAACTAAATACTGAAGTTGTTGACGAAGTTGGGCGAAAAATGCTTGATGATGTTGATTGAAAAGGATTTGATGTAGTAGTCGAGGTTGTACAACCTGTATTATTAAAGGATGGCGGTTTTAGGCTAAATAGATTGATACTTGTGCTGCTGGAAAATGGATTTGCAGATGTTTGATCGAATGTTGAAGAAGAGCCAAAAAGACTAATAGGTGCGGTTGACACAGCAAAGCCAGTCTCTCCAGAAGGTTGAGCAGCTACCTATGGTCCACATTTATCCTCTAATTGATAATCCTCCTATCGTAGCTCCTTATGACTTTTATCTTTGTAAATAGGTATCGTTGATATTGACTCCAACTTTGCAGCTGGCTGTGCACTACTCCCACTATCTGCTTCGGTTGTAGGTGTGTAAGGAGCTACTCTACTTCCCCCACGTTGACCCTCAAATGGTGATTGGCCAAAGCTTGTGTTTCCAGATGCTGGTATAGAAGATTGGGTCCCAAAAGGAGATCTCGAGGCTCCAAATGTAGTGGTTCCAAAAGGAAAACTACCGAATGTTAGCGTTGATTGGCCAAAAGCTAGGCTAGACCCAAAGTTGAATGAAAGAGTAGAAGATGCTCCAAAAGGAGGAGTGTTTGAAGCCCCAAAAGCAAGAGGGATGGAACCCTTGAAAGTTGGATTCTTTTATCGAATGAAGATAGCAATCACCCAGACTGTAACGCTTCAAGCAGCATCCTAACGAGCAGGTTATCGACTTTTATAAAACAACCCACGCCCTCTTGATACTACTCTAGGCGGTAAAGTTGCTAACAGAAGACTGAACACCTTTTGACTCTACCTTTTTCCTTTCCTATTCGGATTCTTCTTCTATCTTTCCTCCCACCTTCAAAATGTGAATCACAATGATTTATCAAACCATGCTGATAAAGTTTCAGTTCAATTCCAATTAGTCATCCAATGCTAAAGATTAGCATCTAATTATGCTTTCTGATCATCATCAAGCCTAATCTCAATCTTTCTTTTTTTTAAAAAAAATCAGATAATGAAGATAGAAAAAAAAAAACAATAATTAGACCATAAGATAAAAATTAAAAATGATAAATATGAAATAAAAATCTAAAATAAAAATTTTTACAATCGAGCTTGAACTGATTTTAATTGACAAAAGATCCCGGACAAAATGGGGTGTCTGCAGAGATGATACTTGGATTTTGGGATTACTCTAGCTTTTTATGAAATGCCCTTGAAAGATGATAAAACATGTAGCATTTTGTTAGGAGATGGGACGATTTAAGGTGTAATGGGAATGGAGAGATGTACATTGGGATAGGGATGAGATGTTTCCATGTTGCTTTCAAAAAATTCATTTATGGGATTTTCAAAAGGGGAATGAAATAAATTCTGAGCAAACTATGAAGGGGTTTGTAGATGAACATCTCTGTTCCATAAAATATGATGAATAGACTCCTAATAGAGCATTTGATGTTGCTTTTATTTCTATCCTTATAATGCATATAAATGAATAAGTTGGTTTTGATTTATTAGTTTTATTTTTTAATTATGTTTTTTTATTAAGCCTCATTTATTTCTATATTAAAAATAACATTTTACCCTTGTTTTTCCACCATCCAAGACAAATAAGCAACTTCACTTTATTTCAACACACGTGAAACACACAACTGTAAAGGAGCAATTTTTTTAACAAAAAAAAAAAGTTTAGTCCTACATTAAGTCAAATTAAAGATGATTTCCTTACTTGGGAAAACTCACATATGTTAAGTCCTAAGATAAGTATTTAGTCAAAAATTTTCATGTCTTCTCTTTTATTTCCAGATTCTTCCTTTTCTTTTTAATATTTTTAAGATATCAAAATAACTAATAGAAAATGATAAAATAAGATGCAATTTTTCTTTGCATTTCAAAAAGCCCAAATTCTTCAAGAATAAAAAAATATAATTGATAGCAAAAGAGAAAAGAAAAAGGAAGAAAAAATGAACTTCATTTTTTGCAAGCATCAGTGTCATCGAAAACAATCTCAGCAAAAAAACCTTTCATTTTCATTCGTTCTTCTTCCTTCTCTTTTCCTTATTCTCTCTTCAATCAAGCATTTCATCTTTTCTTTGTGTTTTTTTTTTTTTTTTTTAATTTCAAGTGATAATGGTGATAATGGTGTTTATGGCTGGGTGGATGAGTAAATGAGTGTGACAAGGACTTTGAATTTTTTTACGAGATGGATATGGTAGAAAAGGAGAGCTTAATAAAGGATTGATGCGCGTAAAGTAAACAACATTTATATATTTAAGTTAGTACATTATTATATGTGTAAAGCAAAATATGTAACATTTGTATATTAGATGAGTGAATTATACATTAGATGAGTACGTGTATAGCAAAATGTGCAACATTTATAAATTAGACGAGTGAATTATACATTAGATGAGTACGTGTACAGCAAAATGTGTAACATTTATAAATTAGATGAGTGAAGTATTACACGTCTAAAGCAAAACATGCAACATTTATATATTAGAGGAGTGAATTATTGTGCGTTAAATTCAATTTGATTAATTAGTGTTATTACAAGGATGATTAGGACAGTAACTTAAAAAAAAAAAAAGCAAAAATGAAATAGAAATCTTGAATAGAGTAGTAAATTTTTTGAAGATAGTGATGATGCGATTGACTCGTGGCCATGAATGTAATACAAGCTTTTCTTCCATAATATATACTAAAGCAGAAGCTTCAGCTCATAAAACCGAACTTGTGATCCACATTTCTCTTTCACAAAACTCAAAAACAAGTGGTATTACTGCTTTTGAGTCCAACCCATCTAATCCAAAATTATACATTAGGTTTGATGAAAAGGTGTTCAATTCGCATGCAAAGACGGCCATGTTTAACTGAACGTTTCGGTGAGTCTGAACTACGTCGTTTTCTTCGTTACTTTGTGTCCTTCTATCTGGGTATTTGAATTTCAATACAGGGTTTACATTGGAATTTCACTAAAATAGCCATGGACACGGTTATATGATATATCTTTCTAAAAGTTTATGGGGTGCTTGCTGCTTTTGAGTTGATTGTCTTTAGTGTTACTGAATTTTCTGGGTTCTTTTGACATTTGACTTGAATTTATGACAGTGTCTGGAGCTCAAAACTCTTTCACTTAGAATTTAGAAAGCAATGTTCTGTTGGGTTTTACTCATAAGCTGCTCTGGGCTGTTCTTTTGGGCGGGAAACTGACGACATGAACTGGAGTGCCTGTACTGAATAAGATTTTGAAGGTTTGGGATTCTTGCAAGGATATTATTCTTTTTATTGATCAGAAACAATGGCCTTGGCTTTTTCTGTTAAAGTGGTTCTTGGCTCAATTGCCTTTGCAATCTTCTGGGTATTGGCAGTTTTCCCTGCTGTCCCATTTCTACCAGTTGGGAGGACAGCAGGGTCCTTACTAGGGGCCGTGCTTATGGTTTTGTTCAGAGTCGTAACCCCAGATCAAGCATATGCTGCAATTGATCTCCCAATCCTTGGTCTTTTATTTGGTACTATGGTTGTCAGTGTCTATCTTGAAAGAGCAGATATTTTCAAATATTTAGGTAAGTTGCTTTCATGGAAAAGCAAAGGAGCTAAGGACTTAATTTGTAGAATCTGCCTGATTTCTGCCATTTCAAGTGCTGTTTTCACCAATGACACCACTTGTGTGATCTTGACTGAATTTGTGTTAAAAATTGCAAGGCAACATAATCTACCCCCTCATCCATTCCTGCTTGCCCTTGCCTCAAGTGCCAATATAGGGTCCGCAGCTACACCAATTGGAAATCCTCAAAACCTGGTTATAGCAGTTCAGAGTAAAATTTCCTTTGGGGATTTTCTTATTGGAATTCTACCTGCAATGCTTGTGGGAGTCTTAGTGAATGTTTTACTTCTTCTATGCATGTATTGGAGATTGTTATCTGCTCAGAAGGATGAAGAAGACGCAACTGGAGAAGTTGTAGCTGAAGACGATGTGATTTCTCATAGGTTTTCACCAGCTACAATGTCACATTTTCCATCTTTGAACTCTCAAGAATGGAACTCAAGATTGGAATCCATGAATGTGCAAAGCTCTCCCAACGGGAATGGAAGCACAGCTCATCCTGACTCCCTTAGAAACCGAGTAATTTCAGCTGATCAGAATGAAATCCAGAGGGTACCTGGTGGTGCAACTGATTCTGCAAAGAATTCAAATGCATCAAAGGAGGCACCAACAGATGCTGTTGCTTCAAAGATGATTGCAACAGCGGATAGCTTGAAAGATGCACTTTCTGCGCAACCTTCAGAAGAAAAGGAAAACTTATCCACAAGGTGGAAAAGGAGGTTTTGGAAATTCTGTGTTTACTTTGTTACCGTAGGGATGCTGATTTCTCTGCTTATGGGTCTCAATATGTCCTGGACTGCAATTACCGCAGCACTTGCTCTTGTGGTTCTTGATTTCGAGGATGCTCGGCCTTGCCTAGAAAAGGTTTTTCAAAAATGAAATCAGATTTGAAAACTAAAAACATATTTATAGAAAAGCAAGATTTTCAATGTTATAGTTAATTAATTAAGCTCAATTATTTTCTGTGACCAGGTGTCCTATATGCTTTTAATTTTCTTCTGTGGAATGTTTATCACTGTCGAGGGGTTCAACAAAACTGGAATTCCAAGCAGCCTTTGGGACTTGATGGAACCCTATGCAAAGATCAATCATGTTTCAGGGATAGCAGTTCTAGCCATTGTAATACTTGTCCTGTCGAATTTGGCTTCAAATGTACCAACTGGTATGTTGATGCTTTTCCCCTGTGAACACTTATCAGTTCTGTACTGCCACCTTTATGCAGTTGCTTACCACTAACATGATTAATATTTCCAGTTCTCTTGCTCGGAGGGCGAGTGGCAGCATCAGCAGCTGCAATTTCTGCATCTGATGGGAAGAAAGCATGGCTTATTTTGGCTTGGGTCAGCACTGTTGCTGGGAACCTGTCACTATTGGGATCAGCTGCTAACTTGATAGTGTGTGAACAAGCTCGTCGTACTCCACACCTTGCATACACATTGTCCTTCTGGAAACACATTAAGTTTGGAGTTCCTTCCACGCTTATAGTCACCGCTATTGGTTTGACACTCATTAGATGATTAAATAAATGTACTTCAATAAGAGGCTCACATAAGAAGGGAAGAAATCCCGCTTCCACTTTCTTGTGAGCATTTCTCTCCAGAGATTAGGGAAGATCAAAAGCTGCAATGTTAAATTGAAATAATGCTATGGTTTTAAACTTTTTCTTCTAGCAAAAAAGGAGAAAGAGAGTGTCACAATATTCTGCAAAAAGTTTGATCACTTTGAAGTTTCTTTTTCCCTTTTAGCCATCAATGTAGTATTATATCAAGTTAATAAACACTGCCTTTGATACCCGCACAGTTTGAGCTTGAGTGTGCTTTGCCCAATGCCTTTTTTTTCTGTTTTCCCAAAGTTAGGCTTGGCGTTGAGGCGCGATTACATTCCAAAAACTAACAAAAAGCTACTGGATAGTCATTTGGATTCCCAACACATGGCACGATGGCTTGATTTTTCTTACGTTTGGTCAGTGACATTTTTGGTTCAGTGGCAAAACGCACCTCTCATCTCATTTTTTTTCTTATTTTACCCTTTAATTTGGACCATAAAGACAAATATATCCCTACAAGACAACTCTTTTTTTTTTTCATTTAAAATTTTTTCTTTAAGAACTCTAAAATAATCTTATTAATTTAACATAATAAATAAAAATTTTAATTATTTATTAATTTTATAAACATTAAATAATTTAAATTTTTTAATTTAATATCTTTAATAATCATTTAATTTTACTGTTATAATAATCAATAATATTATAATAACTAATCTCACTTTCATAATTATTTTAATTTTTATTAAAATCAATCTCATCTTTTATCTAACTAAACTCTCTCGTGTTATAAAGGCTTGGGCCCTAACTTGGAAACTAGAACTACAATTTTGAGCCCTATTCAATCTCCAGTTATTAAGGTTTAACCTCTTTTTCTTTTACCATGAGTTTAGCTTTCTTTGTAAGAACAATAAATATGGTAAATAATTTGTTTAGGCTTACCTCAGAAAATCTTGCGAGTATAGGCCGCTATTAAAATATTGAAATGACAATGCCGCATTTGAAGCAGTTGATCTTAGCCATAAAAATTTTTTGTTTCCAAACGAGCCGTCAACAACTTGAGGTTTTGCAGTTGTTGCATGTACCTTTTCCTCTATAATTTCATGTCTAACCTCCGAGTCTTACTAGTTTTTAAAACTCTGAAAAGAGAGAGAGAGAGAGAGAGCCGAGAGGAATGCCAAAAGTACATGTGGGATGATCCTATTCCTGGAAGTGCTTAGCATTCTCAACTAAAAGGGATAGCTGATTCCAGGTAAGGGATTTAGTCAGCGTACTGTCAACAGCTTTGTAACAACAATCTTGCTGATAAAACGCACCAATTAACTTTCCAGTTTTTGCATTGTACTTGTTGAAAAAGTAGTATCATGACTTTTTTGTCTTAGTAGAATGATGTCAGCAATCTAATTTATCCTTATCGTTTTAAAATTATCTTGATTCGGAGTTTTGAGGCATTGAGTCTCTCCAACAATTTCTGTTTGTTAAGGGTTTTTTAAGAATGCTAAAAGATGGTAATGGCATCTTATGTAAAATCGATTCTAGGCTCAATTGCCTTTGCAATGTTCTGGGTACTGGCAGTTTTCCCTACAGTTCCATTTCTACTTATTGGGAGAACTGCAAGGTCCCTCTTCGGAGGTATGCTGATGGTCATTTTTCAAGTCCTTACTGTTGATCAAGCATATGAAGCAATTGATCTTTCAATCCTTGGTCTTCTTTTTGGTACAATGGTTTTCAGTGGATATCTTGAAAGAGCAGTTGCATTTAAGTACTTCGGTAAGTTGCTCACATGGAGAGTAAAGGCGCAAAGGACTTAATTTGCAGAATCTGCTTAATTTCGTGGCTTTGTTCACCAATGACACATCTTGTATGGTTTTGAATGAATTTGTGTTGAAAATTGCAAGGCAAAATAATCTCCCACCTCAACCTTTCCTACTTGCCCTTGCCTTAAGTGCTAATATTGGATCTACAGCAACTCCCCCCAAATTTTGGTTATAGCCGTTGAGAGTGGGATTTCTTTTAGGGAATTCTTAACCGGAATTCTTTCTGCGACCATACTAGGAGTTGTTGTCAATGCTATATTACTTATGTGCATGTATTGGAATTTGTCGTCTGTTAAGAAAAATGAAGAAGATTCAGCTGCAGAATTTGTTACTGGGGACAGTGTGAGTTCTTACCAGTTTTCACCAGTCACAATGTCACACTTTGCATCATCTAGCTCTCAAGGACGACTACCTGGATTGGAAATTACAAATTTGCTAACCTCTCCCAATTTGAATGCCTGTGGGAGCTTGACTCATCATGATTCTCTTAGGAACCATGTAAATTCAAACCAGAATGAAACTGAGACTCACTCGTTCATGAATTGTGCCTGGGAGTCCAGGACCTTAACTTGTTCAGAAAGATGGAAAAGGAAGCTGTGGAAATCCTGTGTTTATCTAGTTGTTGTAGGAATGTTGATCTCTTTGCTTATGGGTCTTAATATGTCAGGGACTGCAATTACTGCTTCACTTGCTCTCATGATTCTCGATTTTAAGGATGCTCTGCCTTGCTTAGAGAAGGTACAATCAACAACTATGGCTCTTTTGTTCCCTAATTTAGATTCAAATTGATCATTTTACTGCTTGCATGGACCGATGGAAGTGTCAATAACTTGTTGGGGATCTTATTTCTCTGGTTTGAACAGGTATCCTACTCTCTTCTAATTTTCTTCTGCGGGATGTTTGTCACAGTCCAAAGGTTTAATAAAACTGGGATCCCAAGCGCTCTATGGGAGTTAATGGAAACCTGTGCAAAGATTGATTAAGTTAGTGGAATAGCAGTTCTTGCACTTGTAATTTTTATCTTGTCAAATTTGGTTTCAAATGTGCCTACCGGTATGTTGATTTTTCTCTTCCATGTACTCTATTATCTTCTTGATAAGAGTGGCTTTCAGACCTGGTTTGGAAATCTAGCTCATTTAAATTTAATTTCTTTGCAACACTTGCTTGGAAGCAAGTGTAGTTTTTCAGCAGTAGAAATGCTAATCAGTGCTGAAGAATATAAAACACCTCTCACATTTTATTTTAGGTATCTAGGATTTTTTGGTTCTTGCAGCTGTGATGGATTATGTTTTTAACAGAATGACTGATGTTACTAAATGAAAAATATAAAACTTGAATAGATCCTAGTCATAGTCATAAGAACAAATGAACAACATAAAAATGCAAAGAACAAATTTGCTGATGATACATTTGATATGCGTTATGACAACAAGATATGCTTTAGCATATCTTTCTAGAGAGAACTAAGCCGTATGTTTTGAGAGCTTTGAAGAACTTAACCATGTAAAGAAGCAAACTTCAACATGGCAATTTGGTAAATTATAAAACTTAGCAAAATTCATTTGATGTAAAAAAATCAGTATCCACACCATGTATGTTTGAAACAGCCTCATTCCCCAAAAAAGTGAATTTTTTTTAATGATATCTTGAAACATTTTAACTGCTTTTTTGACATATGCGGTATGGGCCAAGCATTACTCAAATGTAGGAAAAGAAGAGAAATGCACTGGAACAATTTTGTTCAAGAATTATGGCTCTCTACACATTTTAATTTAATGAAATTGACAAGCTTCAAAAAGGTAATAATCTTGCCAAATATGTGGCTGAAGTCATATGCAATACAAATACTCAAGTCAAGTCCGTTAGAATTAAGGTTTTGAAGAACAGCTTGTAAATCCCTTAGATTAGCCTTTCAGTATATAAACAATACTAAGGAAAGAGAATCAATTACACATTAATGCTCATAATTAATCCCTCCTAAACTGTCTCCCATAGAATATTTCCATAATATCCAACCCACACACATGCATAAATTAACACTTCCCCTTAGACTGGTGCATATATGTCAATCATGCTCAGCTTGTTACATATATAGTTAACTCGAACTCTTGGAAGTGATTTCATAAGAATATAGGCTAGTTGTTCCCTTGTGTTCACATGCTTATAATATTGTTCCACTCAACATCTTTTCCTTGATGAAATGATAATCAAATTCTATATGCTTGGTCTTTCATGAAATACTAGATTGGTAGCAATATGAATTGTTGCCTAATTATCACATCATAACTCTGTAGGTGTCTGAACTAAAAGCCAAATTTCATCTAAGAATTTAGCCATCTATAATACCTTTGTTGTAGCCAAAGCCATGGCTCTATACTCTGCTTTTGCGCTAAACCTAGCAACTACTTGTTGCTTGTTGCTCTTTCAAGACACTAAATTACTTCTAAGGAAGGTAGCATAACCAGATGTAAACTTCCTATCTATGGGAGAGCCTGCCCAATCTGCATCTATATAGGCTCGAATATCTCCATCACTAGTAGAATTGTAGAGTATTCCCTTTCTAGGATTTCTCAACAAATATCGGAGGATGCGTATCACTGCCCTCCATAAGTATCTCTAGAAGCTGCTATGAATTTACTAACCACACTCATAGAAAAAGATATATCAGGTCTCGTCATGTTCAAGTAATTCAATTTTCCCACTAGACTCTTGTAAGGTGTGATATCATCAAATAAAGTGTCATATTCTAAAGAAAGATTGATACCTAGATCCATCAATGTGTCACTTGGCTTGGCATGAAACAAGCTTGCATCTCTTACAATATCCAACACATACTTCCTCTGAGATACAAAGATTCTCTTTTTACACTTTATCACTTCATTACCCAAAAAATATTTCAATTTATCAATATCTTTGGTTTCAAATAGAGATTTAAGATACATCTTAAGTCTATCAATCTTTGCACTATAACTGCCAGTGATGATGATATCATCTATATACAATCCCAACAATATATGGTCAGCACTTTTAGATATATAAAATATTGAATGGTCCTTTTCATTCTGTTGTATGCTATACTAAACAAAAGTTGCACTAAATTTGTCAAACCACGCATGTGGAGATTGCTTTAGGCCATACAAAGACCTATGCAAATGGCACACCTTCCTAAACTCTGCTTGAGAAACAAACCCTAGTGGTTGCTCCATATATACCTCCTTAACCAAGTCACTTTATAGAAAA